CCCCCTGTCTGTGCCCCCCCTCCCCTCCCCCCCCGCCGGCAGCCCAGAGGCTGGGGACGTACTTGTTGGCGCCAGAGGAGGAGGCAATCTTCTGCAGCTCCAGGAAACGCACCTCTCGCTTGTGCGGGAGGGAGAGCAGCGGGGAGTGCTCCTCAGAGCTGCTGCTGGACGCGCTGGATGAGGACAGCGGCGCTGGAAATCAAAAGCAAACAGCAGGATGTGATCTTCACGTTAATACCAGAAGGGAGGGTTTCGCAGCTGAAATCCCTGACGCACAGGGACCGCAAATTCCCGCGAGGGTGGACCAGCCCAGCCGAGAAAGCCATAAACCCGCCTTACATCCCCGTCCCGCCAGCTCCACAGACCTGCCCCGGCACTCCGCTCCCGCCGTGAAGCTGTGGGCATCCCACCCGCCTCGCTCCTCCGGGGAAAGCACATTTCGCGCCGCAAAGGCCGGGATGCTGCCGAGGGGGGAGAGCCCGGCAGGTATAAGGCAGCTCTACTCTTAAAGAAGAGCATTTTGTAGTGCTCAGTCCTGGGGTGAGGGGATCTGGACGGTGTTGCTGCTTTTATGGCTTGGCAGCTATGGCAGCTCAAAGAGAGGAAAAAAACCAACCAAACAATGGTTTTATGGTCTAGAAAAGGGTCATCCATGCCAGTTGGGTGCTGCAAGCACAGGAGCTGTGAAGGAAGATGCCAACAGTGCTCAGCACTCGCAATACCCCACGCTGCTGCTCTCGGTGAGATTATGGTCTGTTTCTGTCCCACTCCCAGCGGGCACCTGGACATCACCACAGCAAACGCGTTAACCCGTCGGTCTAACCAGGGTGCTGCGTTGGTGCCAGCGAGGAGGAAAAGGTGCCCAGTGCTGCTCTGCCCACACAAGGCTTGGCCCGGTACTCCGGACTGGTGCCGCAGCACTGGCAGCCCCGTTCCGGCGCTCACCTTTCCTCTGCAGAAACATCTCCAGATTTTCATTCAGGCTCTCCTCGTTGTCCAGCACAAATTTGAGGATCGATGCCAGCTCAACCTGTGTCAGAGGAGCCGTGGGGTGAGCAGCTCTGCTGCAGCAGCTGCAGTTCGCAGACAGAGCAGCGTCAACCCCAGCGGGCTCGGGGCAGCAGGCAGCTCCCCGCCTGCCCACACCTGCACCGGCAAGCGCCCACGCTCGCAGCCACAAGCCTTTCATGGCCCAGATGCAGCGGCGAGGACTGCACCACCCACCCCGCACCATCTTTCGAGGGGATCTAGACACGGGGGCAGGTTTCAGAGCAGCCTCCAAAAGGCACCTGTGCTTCCCCCCGCGTCCCTGATCCAGAGGGGAAGCCCAGAAGGGATTACCTGGGTCTTGTAGTCAAACTCATTCCAGTCCCCAGGGCTCTTGCAGCTCATGGAGGTGTGATACAGGAGCAGCACGGCCACCTGAAACGAAGCAGGTAAGCATCACCCACCCCAGGTCGGTCATCAGTGCCGGCTAGGAACAAAGGGTGCCCGGTGGTTACCTTGGCCAACGCCAGCTCCTCTCCCTCCAGCAGCTCCTGTGCCGAGACCAGGTTCTCCGCAGTCGATTTGTGCTTGCAGTGCTCTGCAAGGTGAAGCGGGATTGCCAGTCACGCAGGAGCCCCCAGCCCTGGGCACGCCGCCTGCCAGCCCATGGCACATGTCCATCCCCCACGGTGACGGGCTGGGGGGCACCGTGATGCGTCCCCAAGGAGAAGGGGCAGAGGCGGAGAGGCACAGGGCTGGGCTCCGGACCTGAGCTCCCCAGTGCTCCATTAACTCTGATGGGCTTTTTTTTCCCCCCCCCTTCCCTGGCCACCTCCCCCTCGCTCCCAACCTCCCCACCTCGCCCTCGGCATTTCTCTGCGCGTTTTGCTCTTCCACCACCAGCACAAACTGAGCCCCATCTATGCAGGGTGGGACACAAGGTGGGACACACACAAGGTCTCCCCTTCCAGGAGAGGCCAAGCAAAAGTGCAAGAGATTTCCCATTTCCCCTTCCAGGGTTCCTGCTCGGGTACAGGTTTTCCAGCGGGATTTGAGCAGCTTGAGGCCAGGCACCGGCTGAGGAACGCCGCAAAGCTGCACCACCAGAGCACCCACCAGCACCCTGCCCCGCACCCCCTGGACCTCCTCTGTGCCAAGCCGGGACTCTGGCAAGGATTTCCGTCGGGAAGCTTTCCTTCCCGCACGCTGCTGCGGGGTGAGGGCAGCCCTGCCTGCACCTC